ATATGCTGGTGGAGTGAAAAGTACAATGTTAGGAAATATGAAGGTGCATGAAATAGTAATACTCAAGTGAAGTACAATTACCTTAAAGTTGCACTGAAATACGGTGCTTGATGTTATGTTAATGTACTTTCCGCCGCTGGTCAGGCCCAATACCAAGCATGTTTTAAAAACTTGTACCACTTAAACTCTACATTTAAACACAAGTTGATTAAAAATTGTTGATGAAAGTTGCTTCAAATAGTGAAGGCTCTTAGTATGAAGTATTTTGAGCAATGCTGAACTTTCTTTCTCTTATTACCATATAAACAAAAGTCTCAGTCTTGTTGGAAAAATAATATTTTTCCAAAGCGATGAGGCTGACTTGAACCTGCCAACAGTTTCATTTCAGTATCCGATCTGGCATATAGTGATATACATTTACTATTATTCCTTCTAGGCCGTTAAGGCTGCATCCAACAAAAAAACGTGATCGATAACCAAAGACGTAAAAACTAGTTTTAATAAAAAAGAAAGATGTTAGTTTATACAGAGAGAGGGGAAAGAAACAGTCTGCATGTTGATCTCGATTCCAACCAAATTACTCATCCTTCCTTGTGATGACTGACCCACAGTTGAACATGTCTTCCAAAGAGAGGCTATTTTAATGCAACTATTTCTAAGACTTAGGATACCAGTGTGACCTAGTCTATTTCTCACTAGATGCATTGTCTTGTGGAACATCATGTAGATGCTGCTGTGTAAAGGAATTAGATTCTAATTAAACGGTGATACATCCCGGCTTTGGGCTTATGCAGAGATTGTCTCAGGCATGTGAGAGATGTGTGTCTGTGGGAGCTGGATCACAGAGATGATTAACCACGACCATCTGGCATGCAGCCTCCGTTTATGAATGAGGTGGAGTGTACTCAGATACACTATGCATATAAACGGTATTAGGGGTGGGGAAGTACATTGTTTTTCTATTTATTTTGTGCTGTATTTTGTTATTAATCAAATGATTTATTACAAAGTCTTACATATTGCACATGCTGCATTGAATTCTAGAGTCACCATATCACATCAAATTGTATTGTTAAAGTGAAGACACCAGTACAAATGTATTAAGATAAAATAAGAGAATCCTTCATGATCAGAAAACCTCATGTGGAGATAAATTACAGAGTAAGAAGATCAATCAACACTAAATTGTGTTCTTCATCGGTTATTCTAGTAATTAGTAAAGTATTGAGGCTGAGAATTTGATCCCAGGATTATCCTTGAACTATTTGGGGAGTCATGTGTTATTAGTTTGCCTTGAAGATGCAGCGTTGGATTCAAATATAATATAGGAACTAAGAAAGTGTTGAAATAAGTTAGAAGTAATGGATTTAGACTTCTCTCTCTCTCTCCCCCGACACACCCATTAGAAAGATGGTTGACAGTAGACTTTCCCAGTTGAAGAATCACGTCGAACTAGTCTAGAAACACGACGCATACCGATCTTGTTATGCGTCTGTGTTATCTGAGTAAACATTGTGATTTCTTTCTTATTTCCAGAGAGAGTGGTGCCCTTCCTCAGCCGTCCAGCCGTGCCAGCCCTGCTCCTGCCCGGTGGTCTGCACCTTTTCAGCCCTAATGCCATCTGCCGGTCAGTAGACTGTGGGCCTTCCTGCTCGCTCGTATATGAATGCCAAGTTGGCACGAATGTGGAAGCTGCTAATCATTGCCTCTGTATAATATTTCAGATATGCAACATCCTAAAGGGCTGCTCAGGCTTTAGTGCTGTGAGCCCCACAAATGCAATTAGAGTTGGATGTCTCAAAACCTGGGCAAATAAAACCAAAACTCTACTCTACACCTCTATACCTGCTGTGGCTCAGGGACAGAGCAGATCATCTTTGATCCCTAACTCCTCCCCTCCATGTCCCATGTGTCCTTGGGCAAGACACGTATGTGTGGTGTGAATGGTTGGTTAGTCCTGATGGACATGGTGGCCATCAGTGTATGAATGGTTGTGAATGGCTGAATGACATGTAGTGTAAAGCGTAGTCGGAAGACTAGAAAGACGCTGTACAAGTCCATTTATACCAGTCGTATATATCCGTGTTCATATGTAATTAATTGTGATGAATCCAAAAGATCTGGCAGCGTATTGATTTGGGAAATACAGCAATTATACTTTAAACAGAGGCCTGGAACAAAATCAGTGACATGTTAATGCTCTTGTTTGACCATGATTTCATGGCAATAACATTTTGAGGTACACTGTAATTAAGTCCTAAATGTCTATATTTTAGGTTTGATTGTTTGGTACATAAAATCCATTTTTTTTTTTTTAAACCAAATAAGCTAAAACTGTTTAATGGGACTTCCTTCAGTTTTCTATTTTTTAACTCCTTAGATACCTGTTTGAAGTGAGTGGACAAGACTCCAGTGAGCTTTGCAGTCGCTGGCTTGAATGGGAGGCCACAGATCTTCAGGTAAACTCCACATGAAACAGACCTCTCAGTTCGCTCTGTAATCTGTTGTACAAAACATTAAACCTCTTTGAGATGCAAACTATTTTCAGTTCACGCATTTGTACGTTCTCTCTTTGGCAGAATCCTCTTGCTGTTCCTCAATGTCTTGCCAACGGGGACATAAATCCACGCAGCTAACTGATTAAAGCTCATGCTTTCAGAATAACAATGTACTGGAGAAATCTATCAGCATGCTCTTTAGGCTTTAAGAAGATGAATTGTTTAACCTCACTCATGCTTCTTTGGTTCACAGCTTGAGCTCATGTCATTCAATCAATTTCTTTCTGGTTTGTCTTCTTTTTTTTTTTTTTTTTTTGGTGCAGCCTGCACTGCTGCAGTCCCTTCACCTGGCAGTGCTGCAGGGAAAAGGATCCGAGGTGTCCAAGGTCCTCCAAGGGCCCTTAAACTACATGGAGCAAAGCTTGAGCAAGGGGAACACGCCATATTTAACCGGGGTACAGCATCAACATCCCCTGTTTTGCTTAGTGCCCATTTAGTTAGCCATGTATAGCTCGAGAGTGACAGGAGGTAAAGACAAACTGTATATTACATGATCAAGTCAAGAGTTCACGATGCCTCCGTGGAAGCTCGGCGGAGCTAAACTGCCCCTTTGTGCCACATCAGGCTCCTCCGGCAACATTTATTTTTCTTCCTTTCCTTTTTTTTTTTTTCAGCTGCTGATGCTGAGCTAGTGATGCATTTTTAAGTTAAAAAGATTCATCTGGGGAGGAGCCCCCTTATGCTGCAGATGTGTGGGTGTGAGTGGGGGTGGGGATCAGCTCTCTGTGGTATTTGAAGCCCCTGTGGCAACAAGTCATCTCCGTCTGTCACATATTTCATGTGTACAGAAATCTGTTTTGTTAAGTCTCTTGGTGATTGGCATGGCTTGAGGAACCCTGTGTAAAGCTAAATAAAAACTGTGGTGAGCACACGCACCGAGGCAGGCACAGCAGTGCACATACTCCATATTTAGGGGGATTCAAGCGCACAAAACAATCATGCTGAAAACAGCAGTGAGGTTTTCGATGGGATGACGGGGAAGGACACATGGCGGGTTCAGGAATATTGTGTGTTAACTGCTTAAAGAACTGATGTTCATTAAACTGTGTTGTGTTTCAGGAAGCTGTTTCAGTTGCTGATGTTGTTTTGTGGGCAGCGCTGTACCCCGTTTTATCTGACTCTTCACTAGCATTGGGTAAGTAAGTATTAATAAAGCTTAAAACATTAACTATTTCTTCCTTAATACCTCAACTGCTCTCCTATTTTCATTCATCATTTTCTTTTCTGTTTTCCTTTATTATCCTTCATTTATTTCATTTTCAAATGCCTTATTTATAATGTTGTGTTTTAACGGTCCTTACCGCTTCCCTTCACTTTCCTTTCTGTCTTTATTCCCTAATATCTCCCCCCCCAACCATTTCCCGTTTTTCTTTCTCCATTTTTCAGGCGAGTGCACGTCTGTAAAGGCTTGGTTTGACCGCGGGGCTGTCATGCACAGTTGTGCTGCTCAGAAAGTGCTGCAGGGAAAAGGCCTACAGGGCATGAAGGGCTTCATGCAGAGGCAGCCTGCCCCTCAGAGCAGCCAGTGCAGAGACGCGCAGCCATGCAACAGCAACCCTGCTGAGGTATCAGATCATTGGGATAACGATCAGACTTAAAGCATTCTTACTGAACAAAAATTTGAGGGGGCTTCAGTGACTAACTACACTTGTGCTTTTGCCTCAGGAAACATGTACGCTCTGTGAGGTTTCCAAGAAAACGTCTTTCTGCTTTTTTATTTTCTTCGAGCTCTATATGCACTAACACCAACAACACCTTGCAGCACACATGTCCTGTCACACGTATCCTTTCCCACATTTTTATGTCTTCACACCGTAGCTTTTAGGAGGAAAGTTAAAGCATTCAAAGGGTTGCGAGGCTTGAATTCACCTCACTTAAACTAAGCAGGGCTCTCCTGTAAAGCAGATGCAACCTCTGTGTGAGAGTTAACCTGGCTGTATGAAAGCATGTAGGGGTTACATCACTTTTTCTTTATCCTCTGTTCTCTTTCTTGTGTAAGCATGGGAGGATTTAAACAGGTGTCAATCAAATTTTAGCAGCAGCACTCACGGCCCTTCTGTCAGAGGAAACGGCAGGGTGTGCGTATCTCAGATTGCTTAATGCGTTCGCTTCGGGTTTGAGGTCAAAAGATCAAGTGAGAGGCGGTGATACAATTCCAAAACATTGGCAGTTCTTGATAAGGATTGCCCCTGTTAAAAAAGGAAAAATCACTAACTCCGAACATGATACCAACACATTACTCAAAGTACCATTTAGAGTGTTTGGCCGCAGCAATAATATTAAAAAAAACCTTACAAGTTTTTCTTTGTTTAATTCCCAGCTGGTGATCCTCTGTATCTAAATGCTTGTTTAGGGTGAGGAAAGTGAGCGTGTGGTGTCCGTAGAGGAGATGGAGGCAGCTGCTCTCACCTGGAGTAAAGGTCTGAACGCCTGTCCATTGGCTACAGACAGACAACACCCCATGTAAGTAAGACACAGTGCTGTTTCCCACTCTAGACACTAAGCAGATGCTCTTATTCAGGGTAACTTTCAGTGAGTGTGTATGTTGCAGTTTAACAGTTTAGGATGTTATTTGATGTTGTGGGGATCACATCACCAAAGACCCACAAACCAAAATGTTACCTAGCAACTTCGTGTCAGTGAATCAAGCTACATTTCCAAACTCCTGAAAAGACCATTTGTCACGGGCAGAAGAGTCGAGTGAATTGAGCTGTAACGTGTAGAAATCTGACCCTGAGGCTGTAAACCAAACTCTTAAGGAGTTGCAAGATAGGAGTATTAAGGTGAGACCCTTCAGGCAAAAACATCTTTTTTCATGCTCTGGCCAATTTTGAGATTTGGAGCTCTTTCGCCTCCATAACGTGTCTTCTTTCAAACTAGTGATATATCTATTAGTTACACTGTTTACCCTATTCCTCTGTAGTGTCTTTCAAAATGTCTGGAATTTTAAATTACAAATCTTTAAAGGCTGTTTTGTCAAAATGAGTTTATTCTCATACAAAGTGCTCACTTCATTAGCACTTGCATACACCACACTACAGTTACTTTCATATCAATATTCTGTTTTCACTGAGGGGATATGTTCATCTATCATTCATAGCCTGATTCATGGAACATTTTATTCTTAAAAACATGGAGAGAATGACATTTCTTTATGACTGTTGACAGTATTTTCTGATTTATGGAGTGATACAAAGAGATATCCAAAATTCCCCTTTCTGTTTTGGAAATGTATACAAATGAGCGCATATTTAATACAAGTTTTTATGGTGAAATCGATTAGTCGAGATGTTTACCCCGCCTGTAGTGTCTCACCCTTAAACCCCGTGTTTGTTTGTTTCCCATCAGTTTGCCACAGGAGGGCAAGCGAAACCTCCTTGTGACCAGTGCCTTGCCTTATGTCAACAACGTCCCCCACCTGGGCAACATCATTGGCTGCGTCCTCAGCGCTGATGCCTTCTGCAGGTTTGAATTTAAATCTTCTTACTCCTTTTTTCTACATACTATAGGTGCCAACAAAATATTGACCTCTTTACCAACGCATTTAAAAAAAAAAAAAAAAAGAAACATTTACACAAGCGCATACACAATCTTGTGCATTTATAATGTACAGGCTGTCAGACCTGTAATGTATTTAAAGGCCTTTTCTACATTACAAGGAAAGCCGTCTATCTTATTCTTCCTCACCAACGGCTCATCCATTCTCCCATTTTTCTCTTCACCTTCTCCAGCTTTCTTCCTCACTTATTCACTCTGTAAACTCCCCATCATCATCTTTCTTTTTGCTCTTTTTTTCAATCCTTTCTCCATTTCTTTGGTCTTTCTCCGTCACTGTACTGACTCCGTGCGTCTTCTCCTCGAAGGTATGGCCGTCTGCGAGGCTGGAACCTCCTGTTTATATGTGGCACGGATGAGTATGGCACAGCTACAGAGAACAAGGCCAGAGAGGAGGGTCTGACGCCGCAGCAGATCTGCGACAAGTACCACGCCATTCACTCCAACATCTACAAGTGGTTCCAGATTGACTTCGACTTTTTTGGCAGAACCACAACCGAGAAGCAGACGGAGTAAGTGGAAGCAGGGAAGAAGGCTTTAGTTGGAAAAATTTCAAGATGGGGCTTTTCTTTCATCACACTCAAAGTTGAACCACAAAGATGAAGCTAAACAGGGAGTTCTCCAATAATAATCCAGAGCTCTCTTCACGACCTCGGTCCTCTCTTGGGTTACATGTGGTGTTGATACTGCTCGGCTTTGGTGTGAAAGGGCAAACGCGTTTGCATTCGATTACTATACAGTTATGTAACATGAGATTACTATAATCTTGCAGTTGATACTGGTGCGGATGTCTAGCCCTCTCCAGCATAAATTCTACTCTCCTTAATCTCAGAGATTATTGACCGTGATTAAAGAATGTAAGGTCCTTGTTTATATTTCTGACATTTACCAAACAAAAGAATAAAAGCCAACAAGAAATCATTGGCAGAGTCGATGGAGGAAAAAATTAATTGGACGTTCTGTAGTAAAGTTCTGTATGTCTATTTCATGATATTGATGACGTAACTCAAGCCTGGAGGTGAAATGTATTGTCTCAAAGTTATGGATTGTTGCTCTGAGGAATTATTGAAACAATGAAAGCAATGGAGTTGGTGTGGATTCTTGTCAGAGTGTGTATGGATCAGGTGTCAGATTATGTTTTGGTTGTATGGGTCTTTAAATAAGACGTGGAGAGATTAATTATATATATTTTTTCTTCAGTTAAAATGACACTTTAATCCTTGAGCTTGTACTTAGAAAGGGAATACAAAGATAAAAACTTGTGTTGTTTTGCGGGCTTTGCTTTGAGAAGTAAAACATGAAAGGCATCAAACACCGTGCACCAGAATCTGTTTCTTTGAGAAATGAAAACGGCCCACAGATTAAAGACTTTTCTCTTGATTCATGAAAAGTACTTTAGATGTTTGGTCTTATATTTGACCTGCACCATTTTTAACACCAAAGGTTACCAAAAGCTTTTTGTACCATTTTACTTCATGTTTAATGTCAACAAACGAATAACGCACACTCTCTTCTAGTACATTGCTATATTTATTGCTATATATCGATCCAAAAAGTTTACATCATTTTCTAGCCAACAGCGAAGAGAAGTATCAATCTGAGTAGGGAAACAAAATTGGGGTCAGGGTTTAATGACTAGTCGGTGTGTTCATGCACCTTTTTAACTACAATTATTTACCTCGCATCCCGGTCACAACACTCCAACTATGTTTATCCTCTCTTATCCTTTCAGGATTGCCCAGAACATTTTCTGGAGAGTCCACAAGCATGGCTTCCTCTTGGAAGACACGGTGGAGCAACTGCGTTGTGAAAACTGCAAGCGCTTCCTCGCCGACCGCTTCGTAGAGGGCATCTGTCCCCACTGCAGCTACCCAGAAGCTCGTGGTGACCAGTGTGACAAGTGCGGGCGGCTCATCAATGCCGTGGAGCTGAGGGTGAGTTGGAAGAAGCACGTTGACGATAAAAGGCGAGAAGAGGATGATCATGATGTATCTATGCCGATTATTGCCATTAATTGACTGTTAGATAGAGAATGATGGCGTTAGCAATTGGTATAACATTTCTGTTTGATCATTATTGATGGTTGTCCCTTTCAGGAACCCCAGTGTAAAGTTTGCAGGCAGACTCCAGTTGTAAGCACCTCCAAACATCTTTTCTTGGACCTGCCAAAGGTATGTCTTTCACACTGCATTGTAATGAGCTGGGTCATCCATTCTGCAGTTCAGACAAAGCTTTTGGCCTGTTTTAGAAAGTACAAACATCAAGTGCATAGTAGATTTCAAAGTCAGACAGCTTGTTATCACTCTTGTCATTTTATTACATAAACTGCTTTACTCTTTTCCGGAGCTGTGGTTTGGCGTAATGACGTTTGATGTTCTTGTCAGCATTTTCATTCATTCTCGCTCCTTCTCTCGTGCAGCTAGAGCCTCAGTTGGAGCAGTGGCTGGACAAGTCAATCAGCACAGGAGACTGGACAGCAAATGCCAAACAGATCACTCGCTCCTGGCTGAGAGATGGACTCAAACCTCGCTGCATCACCAGAGACCTGCGCTGGGGAACGCCAGTACCTCATCCGGACTTTAAAGAGAAGGTCTGCTATTGTCACCTAGAGTAAAAACTATTTCTTTCATATTATAAATCTTGCTATTTCCTTCTTTATAGTTATCATCGAGTAAAAAAGATGCACACTCCACTATGTTTTTTTTATTGAAGCATAATTAAGCCCTACCGCTCAGCTAAATTACCTGCTGAGAAGAAAATGAATGCAAACACTTAATATATACGGTCAGGTTCCTAATTAAACAGTGAAAATAACTATGCACTTCATTAGCTGCTTATAAATGCTGCAGTGACTGATGATGCTGCAGTGCTCTCTAATAGCACACTGGGAGACGCTCTGGGTCGGGCATGTCTAAACATGTTGTAACACTGACAGCTTCTTTTAGTGCTCTCATCTAAATGTCTCCAAACACTGATACATAAGGGAATTTTACTGAAATTATGTTGTGCATCTTGAAGATTTTTCATTCCTCAGTTTTAGTAAAATTTCAAATGATACCGAATTCATTTCTTTAACACAAAGTCTCTCTCTTGCTGCTTCTGCAGGTGTTTTACGTGTGGTTTGATGCCCCCATTGGTTATCTGTCCATTACCGCCAACTACACCGACCAATGGGAGGAGTGGTGGAAGAATCCTAATCAGGTAACCAACCCCCCCCCCCCCCCCACGGAGATACACACGTCAGTAGTTATGAGCCGAGCAGAGTACTGATGCACGAGCTTGGCACAGATTGCGTCCTCTTTACAACACAGAATGGCTCTGATTGCTTTTTTCATTGCTCCATCTGGTCTTTTGCACTCTGCTTTACAAACGCTGTGTAATATCTGGCCCCATATAACCCCAATGTGAAACAGATGAAGACATAACCTCTTTGATTATAAATTAAATGCACAGTCAGTTTTGTAATCACCGCTACAATATCCACGCAGTGTTATGTGGAGGAGACGATACAGAGCTTTTGTACTCTGTGGTTAGATTCCTCCCCCTCTCAAGATGAAAGTCTCAGCATGATCAGTCTTCCATAGGTTTACCTGATGTGTGTTGGTCATGATGCTGTCATCAGCTTTACTTAGAAAGGGGAAACTACATGACATTTTGTGTGTACACAGAACTTCCCACACATACTGTATATTATCAAGTGTGTTCATTTACATGTGGACTTCATTTAACTGTAAGATCTTTTTTATTTTTTTTGTAAACTAAAGATGCAATAAAAAATCATCTCTCTCTCCATCTGAAATCTCAGGACTGAGCTTCTGTTGTGTGCATGCGTGCGTGTGTGCGTGCACAGAGAAAGGGAAAAGGAGAGATGGGGGTTGGGGAGAGCTGATAAGTCCTCTTTGAACCGAATGATCTCATGATGATCTAATATGATGTCATCCTCACAGTGCAGTGTTTGGTCTCTGCCACTAGGTGGAGCTGTACAATTTCATGGCCAAAGACAATGTGCCATTCCACAGTGTGGTGTTTCCCTGCTCCCTACTGGGAGCGCAGGACAACTACACTCTGGTCAGCCACCTCATCGCCACTGGTAAGCACTTATTACACCAGTGTATTCATTATTCATGTGTTATTTGACTCATTTGGATCCTATCTGTTTGGCAGTTAATGCAACATGGACGTCATGAATGATCACACTCTGTAATTCATGCTGTAACTTCCCCACAGAGTATCTGAATTACGAGGACACAAAGTTCTCCAAGAGCCGTGGTGTGGGTGTGTTTGGAGACATGGCCAAGGACACGGGCATCCCGCCAGATGTGTGGCGGTTCTACCTCCTCTATGTGCGTCCAGAGGGACAGGATTCAGCCTTCTCCTGGGCGGACATGGCTCTGAAGAACAACTCTGAGCTGCTCAACAACTTAGGCAACTTCATCAACAGGTGTGACTAGCAGACTTTTATTAATGACCCTAACAAGATAACCTGCACCAATCTCCTCATGCTACTTGCTCCCAGCCTTCTGACTTTGTCACTGTTTATTTTTTATTTAAATTGTTTTGATCGGCCAGAATTAGTCACCAGGGAAATAAATAAAATGGGGCAATCCACCTCAAGTTGCTCACATTTTGTTCATAATAAGTTCCACTCAAAAAGTAAATATGCAGCAAAACTGTCATCCAGTCCAATTAACCACTAAGTTTTCAAATTGTTGTACTCGATGAAAATAAAGTGTGTTAGAGCAGTAACTATTACAGGAGGCTCACCCTAGTTTTCTAAATTTGTTTGGGATGGCGTAATTTAGCCCCGATTACATCGCCTCAAATGATTTTTAAAAGATCAGGGTTAAATCCCACATCAAAGATTTTTCTCAGCAGCTTTTTTTTCAAAGTACCTTGATCTTCAAAATTGGTCTCGGGCAGCAACGTTGATGCCTAATTGGTTCAAAAATATCTTGTAGATTGCATCCAGCCTGAGGTGTTGGGAGGTAAAAAGTATTCTGCTTCAGAACGGAGTTTCTGTCCCTGCCTGGATCCAGTTACTACATCACTACATCATTAGCGACAGTGTGTCCATCTGGGGCCCGCTTTTTCAAATTCATAAACGTTTCTGGGCTTTTGGTGTTCCAGCTAATCGCTGTTGTTCAATTGAAACGCTGACTGTCAACAATTTCCGCTTGTCAGACCGACACGGGTAAATCCTTTTATACAAGCGCAAAATATGACTTTATTGATTACGATGTCTCCGTTTTCGTAACAGTAAGAATGTCACTCTTTATGTTCCCAAGGTGAAAAATGTCACGGCTTTAGTTTGTCTTCCGCTAATTAAAAGACTCAAACTAATTTAGAAGGCAGGTCACACAAAGTTCATGCTCACACATTAAAAATCTCAGTTCATTGTTAATTTGACAGTGGTCTGGCAGACCTGCCTCAGAGGCTGAGAGATGTGTAAAATATGGAACAGTCTGTTGCATCAGACATGACAAAAACGTTCTCACTACCACCTTCTTCCTGATGTACACATAAAAGTCCTTTTAAAAAAAAATCACTGGCTCCAGACACGGCTACAGTGTAGAGGCGATGCAGCACACTGTTGTGTTATTTTACACTAGCACTGTATTTCATCTGGCAACACAATCTATAATTTATAAACAATTAGCAAGTCAAGCAACGCGGCCTTCTCTCATTTTGCTCCCTCCCCCTCTCTCTCTGCCTTTCTCACTCCTTTCCCATACGTTTCCCTGACCCCCCATTTCTTTCTCTTTTTTTATTATCGGTCTTGTTAAAACCTTCCTCTCCCTCTCACCTCCAGAGCTGGCATGTTTGTCACTAAGTTCTTCGAGGGCAGTGTGCCCGTGATGGAGCTCCAGCAGGAAGAGAAGAAGCTCCTGGCTCTGGTGGGCTGGGAGCTGCAGCAATACATCCAGCTCATGGATAAAGTCAAGTAAGGCTGAAGGACTCGTATACTCTACCTGTCAAAAGGTTGATGTTGGGGTATCGTTTATTTGAAATTATTAGATTAATTTAAAATGATTTAAATATGTAAATTGTTATTGAAGGTAAAACATACCAGTAGATAACCCCGTATTTGGACCTCTGCTGAAGTAGATTCTGTATAATAAGTCTACTGTCGGTGTCACACTATCATCACTTTCCCTGTGAAACTTTCCACCAGAATCCGCGACGCTCTGAGACACATCCTCAACATCTCTCGCCATGGCAACCAGTACATTCAGGTCAATGAACCCTGGAAGAAGATTAAGGGAGGAGACACAGAGAGGTGAGAAGGCCTTGACCAGTTCAACACAATCCGCACCGCTGTGGGTGCACACAAGGTAGAAAGATCTGTGTTGCAGATGTGTACATTCAGGCAGACAGCTCACCTTTTGGAAAAATGATTCCTTTACTCACAATCATGTCTTAATTTGATTTAGTACAAATTGAATTCATGAAATGTGTTCGTTCAGGAAATAAATATTTGTGAGGAACATAGGAGTAGTTTTCTGTCCATTGTAAGATTAACAAAACCCTTTAGCTTCATGATCTGCCTGACTGATCCCCGTCTCTCCTCTTCAGGCAGCGTGCGGGCACGGTCACCGGTGTGTCCGTGAACATCGCCTGCTTGCTGTCGGTGGTGCTGCTGCCGTACATGCCAGCTGTCAGCCAAACCATCAGGGATCAACTCAATGCCCCTCAGTCCTGCATCAACACCATGCTGCAAGGCACTGGCACCTTTGTTTGTTGCCTGAGTGCCGGCCACCGCATCGGCACTGTGAGTATGACCTGCAGAAAGTATACACACACACACACACACACACACACGGTTCATACATTCAAACCTGTGGAACCTCCTGTATGTTGACGCCGGGTGATACAATGAGGATGCAACAGTCTGTCAATATTTTAGTACTCTAGAGGACGTTGTAGTCGTGTGAACGCACACACGCACGCGCACACGCACGCACACGCACACGCACACACACACACACACACACACACTTAAGAATAATAGACAAGATGGTGTTTTGAGGCTACAGCGAGTTTCTCTCAGGCCACTTGTCCCTTCAGGCCTGATTGTGGTGACCAGTGTCTGCAGCAGCCTGAGGTCCTTATTCAAGGAGCAGCAGACGACACTGTTCTAATGTCAAACTAACAAAGTGCACACAATGCTTTAACAAATCACGTAATGCTGCATTGAAGAGTTGTGACCATGATCGAAAAAGTTATCCTCTCACTTATTTGCATAATCCTCGTTGTTCAAAGACGAGCACAGAGTCTCCAGGTTCAATTTTCCAGCCACACCGGCCTTCGGCTGGATCGACAATCGCAAACTTTTTAAATGAACGTGCATGTATTCCTTTGAATTCCTCCCTACCCGTTCACCCTGCCAACCCCTGTTATTCCCAGGTCAGTCCGTTGTTTCAGAAACTGGAGGTGGACCAGATCGAGGCTTTGAAGAAGAGATTTGGTGGACAGCAGGTATGTGATGATTATGATCTCTAATGGTCTGTGCATGAGTTCACACAGGTCTTGTAGTAATATAGGTTGACTATTAATGAATAATGAAATAAGAAAGAATTGATAATGCATTGCCGTTCAGGGGCTTTTGTCAGACTGTCGCCCCGAATATGAATTTGTTTGTAATTGGAGTATCTGTCTTTTGAAACATGATGCAGAGCAGACACAGTGTAAATGTGTAAATGGTGTATTATGCATCCATCACACAGATAAAAAATAACCACTTTTTTTTTTTTTTAAACTTCTCCTCAAACACCCCTCTCTAGCCTGAAGATGAACCACCTAAAAAAAAGGTATCGAGTGGTATTTGTTGTGAAGAGTCACTCCTCACTGGTTCTGCTCTGTCACTATTGATTACCGCATGCCTTCACTAACACTAGCAGCTCATCTAACGTCCTCGTAGTTAGTATTTTACTCTCATCCCTGTGTGTCCAGTGTGATTCACTTTCCATTCATGCTTCATGACTCATAAAGTCCTGTCGGCATTTTGAGTGAAGAGTGTTATCGTCTGAAACGAAGCGAGTCATCTCTAGAAATAATAACCATCAAAAACATTCTCATCTGTCTGTTTGCGCCCTCAGACGACAGCTCAGAGCGCTGGCAGCACTCAGCCTGCCGCTGTGCCAGCTGCTGCTGCTGAGGTGGCGTCGGTGAACGGAGTGGACCCAGAAAAAGCCAAGCAGCTCACACAGGCTGTGACTGAGCAGGTGAGATTGCTGGTTAGTGGCAACCCACAGTTGAGCCATCAACTGTCAACCCAATCCTTCCATTTTGGAATCAATCCGTCATTAGAACAGAACTATAGGCAAAAAAATGGCAATAAGTTTGTTTAAATTGCATTGTCTTTATATTAATCTTTATGACTGGAATAAAACGGATGGCATCTTTCGTAAGGAGCAAAAACGATCTTCGCGAAAAAACAAATCACGCGCAACAAACCTCTGGCCGCTGAAATACATAGTGGCTCATTTTAAAAGCGACATCTAATCAGTATCTTTATTTGCATAGTTATCTGGTTATTGTTTAAATTTGTCATCAATTGGTCAAAGTAGTATTTTCTCCAAATTTATGATCTTTGAAATTTTCTAACTATAAATGCGATAGTTGAATTTTTGGGGATCAATTGTTTAAATTCTCAGCATTTCCAAATGAATTTACAAATGCGTATAATTGCTAACTCCCAGATTGACGCCTTACTTACGTATTGCTCACTATATTTAACAAGAAAGCTGCCAACCTCTATTTGTCTATAAAAGCTGAATGTTAAATGAAAACCAAATGTCGGTGAGAGAAATCTATTAAAGCCCGACATCTTGTCTACCACAGGGGGAAAAGGTGCGAGCACTCAAAGCCCAGAAGGCGGAGAAGGCCGTGATCACAGCAGAGGTGGCCAAACTGTTGGAGCTTAAGAAACAGCTGGCTGTGGCTGAGGGGAAGAGCTCTGAGCCTGCACCTCAGAAGGGCAAGAAGAAGTGAGACGGGGGAAAAAGTGAAAGTAAAATAGAGGTTAGTGAGGGGAAGGAAAGAGTAGAATGGTTTGAGGTATTGTGGCGAATGGGAACAAGATGTACACTAAAAGAGATGAGGGTATTACCTTAAGGCAAAGCCGTGACAGGATCTAAGACAATGTGGTGTTGGCACTGAGGACTAATGAAATGCTGGATGGGCCGACGGGGGAAATGAAAACACAAAGACTCCAATGAATACAGCTACAGAAAGGAGGGATTTGTAAAAATCCCTACACCAAAAGAAACCGATTTTATACTCTCCCTGTGATAGTCAGCATACGGTATTAGTGTTGGAAGGTGTGTTGTACATTTAAAGACTTTTTTTTATCTCCCAGAATTCTTTATTTTTTCCTCAATTCGCTACAAATACATTTTTTGGATCCAGAAAATAAATTGATTAAATTCACATGAAATTGTCTTTACCGTCCTCCGTTCTTAATCATCTCTAGTTTACAAAAACAAAAGCAGTCACACACACACACAAACATTACATGACGCGAGAAACTGCACATTATTTTTTTTTTTATTGCAGATTTGGGATTACAATGAAGGATAAAATAATTGGTATGGTAAAATACATGTATTTGATGCCATGAATGATAAAAGCCATGCATATTACTCAATTACAATTTGTATCTGCAGTGAGAAAATAACAGTGGATATGTCGGCATTTTACAGTACAAGCATTACAGTAGAAGTGTGTGTGTATATATATATATATATATATATATATATATTACAGCGTTATATAAAAATAGTAAATCAAGGTAGAACATCTTGTGGTGATTCTTCCACAAATTCCCATATTGGTAGAAAAGGTCAGCTTAGAAAGTACAGCCGGGTCCTACTTGCACATACACACAAGCCATGGGTTATAAAAAAGTAAGAAAGATTATGAATTTACTTCTCATACTCACACTGGGCACTTTCAGACTTTTCCTGAGCTCCTAAACTCTCCACAAATTGGGGCAAATAATCTCTGCTAGCCAAATTGCAGCCCTTTACATAGGAGTTACAATTATTGCAAAATGGTGGGAATGGATGACAATGAAACGCACTCGATTAACTTCCTTTCTGTCCAACATACAAATCATCAAATGCTTTTAACTGTACCGTGTAAATGACAAACAATCATCAAAACCACGGTATCATTTGCACTTGGAGCGGTCTGTTCTTCCTTTTCCTGAATACATGCTGTGTCTTTTTATTTGCCGCATTGCTGAAGCAGCCCTTTCTCTCTGTTCCTTGTCTGGACTTTCATCACTTTCCTATTTCTTGCCATTTTGAGCTCTGTGTTCAAAAGAAAAAAAATCTTCTTGCTTATAAAATATATCTTTGGTTTCCATCCTTTCCCTTTTCAGAGGCATTTCATGACCACCAGATTACATCTTTCCCCACCACTGCTTATTCCAATTCATTAGGACCTGTCATCTTTCATTCTTTCACTTTCCCCTCATTTCCTGGTGTTGACTAGTCTCTCTATCAGGGCTCTACGTGTCCTCTGTACCTCCTCTCCCAACCTGTCAATCTCCGATTTCAAGCGCTCGTTCTGCTCCGTCAGCTCCTGCACCTTCCTCTCGTTGTCCTGCTCTCGTTCTTTGCGACTCTTTTTGGATGAGGATGAGGATGTGTGCTGCGTGGAGGAGGCGAAAGAGGACAAGGCACTGTTGGCCCTCTCGCTGGTGGTCCTCTTGCGTTTTCCCAGGCAGGAGGACGGGTAGGCGGAGGGCGAAGAGACGGGTGAGGAGGGAGAAGAACAATTTTGAGATGGTGACTGGGAGGCCGAGGAGGAGCAGGATGGAGAATCTGGGACACAGGGCAGTTCCTCCTCGCTGGCTGAGGGAGACGCGGGATGGATATTATTAGCTTGGTGGTGTTGATGGTGGTGGTAATAATAGCCGCCGCTGATCACCGCTCCACTCGGATCCACCATTCCCACTCCTCCTTCACTCAGCAACTCGAAAAACTCAGGAGGCAGCAGATCGCTGCCGCCTCCTGTCGAGCCATCTCCCCTTCTCCTGGTCTCAGCCTCCGTCCGACGCTCTTCCGCTACAGCTGGACTCATGCAGGAGGAGGAGGAAGAGGAGGAGGAGGAGGAGGAGGTGGTGTGATGCAGAGGCTGGGTGTTGTGGATCTCCTCTTTTGTCCTCTGGACACCCTCGCCCCACGTCTGGCTTCCGTCCGTCAGCCACGTCAGAGAACAGCTCTCCAGAACATCCAGAAACTCCGGCTCCTTCTACAAACACAAAACGCAAATGTCAACATCTTCCAAAACATGTAAAATATCACAGTACAAGTTAATTTCACATCACTTGGTATATGAATGCGGTTTTGTTTTTTTCAAAAAAAATTGTTCAAATAGACCTAAAAAAGACAAATATTAACCAAAATACAACAACGACAAACACTCACACTCATCATGGGTGCGATAGCTATTTCATTCGTCGAGCTACTGACCTCGGTGCATGTGGGGGCACGTGCCAGTTTTGCCCCTCCCGCGTCGGAGCCCAGAATATCCTGCAGGTCCTCATACCACGCCTCCAACTCTGCACCACACAACGGCCCCACGCCAGGGGGGTATGGCGGGGGCAGGTGTAGCCACTCGGCAGTCATCTCGCCAGTCAGTCGCAACACACAGGTACAAGGCCACACGGTTCACACTGGACCTGAGGGAGGGGAGGACACACACACACACACACACACACACACCTCGTTTGTTTTTTGTACTGTTCTGCAACTTGTGTTAGTTTATAGGTATGGTGTTTAATTACTGTATAATCATTTACACCATCATAAAGAACTAGACCAAAGTACAGTATATCGCATAAACTACTTAGTTGTAATATTGAACAGCGGTGACATTGAGTGGAATTCGAAGATTTAAAATGTATAACCAATACGTTGTATAAAATGAACAAATTGATTAAATCTTGACTTCAAACATGCAGCACTCAGAATAGCAAATGTGAGCGTTTACCTTTCAGAAAGTCTCCGTTAATCAAGTCTGCCAATTTGTTGGCGAGAGCTTGTCCCAACAAGTCTGTAAGGGAAAAGTATTTAAAATCGGTTAGTTTGTAAAAAATATGAAACATGTTTCCTCTGAGCGCTGAAATATGCTGAGATTTCAGAATCAAAGTGATGATTTGCACAAATACAGACCGAGCTTGGTCAGGGAACAAAATGTGCCTTAAAATTTAACATTAATGGCTGATTTGGAAAATAAATAAAATTGTCAATGATTGTTAAAATGATTGACAAGGATGGAGGAAATAAATTGCATGTCTGTTAATTCTTGTAAACAAAGAGCAAAATGTTGTCTATTGCGCCCCCTGCTTTCTACGGTCCTCAGAACACGCTGGGGTCGATAAACAAGTGGATGAAAACGACCAGTGGATCCCTATTGATCTCTATTGACCTCTCAGGTCTGACACTCGGGTCTACGGATTTATTTTAATTCCCTAAAGATGTCCAGAACAAAGATAACGAAACAAAAGCCTAATAATTACTACGTTTAATGTAGACAGTCTGGAACTGAATCAATTAATTTAAAGAAGGATTTTAGTTTACTAGAGATAATTAAAACATTCTACCACAGATGTTGCAGTGATTTGTATTTATAAATATTAATAAATTACAAGTGATAAGAATCATCATCTCAAGTTGTTGTCTGTTAAACGTTCTGTATTAGCGCAGGCATTACAACTTTGGTAAATCGTACCAATTATTTTCTTATGCAATTATTTTTTATTCTGAATTGTAATATTTTCTTCTTCGGTTGGGTTACATGTCCACTGTAAGCCAAGACAATTACGTCATGGAAATGTGTGTCCAGCAGGAGGAATGGGCGAAACAAAAGGAAGCGTTCAGAGTGTGTTGGAGAAACAAAGACAAACAACATCTCTCCATTCATTATGAAACATTTACTATTAACGGGTTTGTTAAAAGTGGGGGAAACAAATGGAACGTTAGCTGTCAAAAATAAAAGCCGTTCCGTTCCAACAGCCCCACCATTACTGTCACACGTCACTCTGAGTAACGTTATTTCATTTTAGTAAAATTAAATGACACTTCAAAAAAATAAATGAAAAAGGATAGGATGTTGTGGCTGCAACATAACGTTACATATTTAAAACGTTTGTCACACTCGAGGGTCAAAATCCTTCTTAAAAAAAAACTTCGTAGCTTTAAGTCCGCGTGAGCTTTGACAACTTGTCAGACAGAAGCAGACAACACGTAAAATAACAACTCCATGTAAATTGTGATGGATTAAGATGCCTGTTATTCTAAAAAAGACACCGGGATAGCTGCCAAAACATGCCTTTTTTTATTCCCAGTAACGTTACACCAGCCACCGTAAGTAACGTCAGACGTTACTCCCCCCGAAAGACTGGAAAACATCGACTGACTAGTTGTCAAAACTATCGAAAATAAACCTCCACTTACCCTTTTTTTTTTATTCGCTCGTCTTCTCGACTGTCTTGAACTCGAATGTGGATATTTTAGTAAAAATTGGTGATAGCTCATGTTAACCATTGTTCAGTCTTCACGGCTGAATGTGATTTTTCGGAAACTCCCGGTGGTGTTTATATCGAGAGGGAGGCCAACCGAACTATGCATGGGAAGGTAGTTTCATCCACAACCTAGCATAGATGTGGGTAACGGACGTTCTAACGGTCCAATCAGGAGAGCGGAGTTAAGATCTTTTCCTTAACGACATCCAATAGGGTGACCCCAAATATAGCTAAGAGGCGGGGCCTCATGTCGTCTCAGCTGCTGGTTCTCTGTATAGTTTGTACGAGCAGCAATTGTGATGCAGTCATAAGACGGCCAGGACGAATTTGGGGCGTATGGGAGTCACATGAAAGGAATGATGCAATGCTTGGCAACCAATTTCTAGCTGGGGATAACACCAGCAGAATCAGAACATGTTTTATTAAACAGTGTTGGCTCTAACTAAAATCTAAAAATATACATATATGCATGGATATCTAATGTCGAAGAATTGCTTGTTTCCGGAACACAAAAGTTGAATTGATTTTTCTCAAAAATTGTTTTATCGTGGGAAAAAAAATCCATTTAGCGCTTTCTTGTTTTTTTAAATTCATTATATTGTTATTCGCTTGTTTTCACCTGGCTTTTGATTACTTCAGTTTTTAGATTTCCACTGCACACACCCCCTTTACTCCATAGTCCACTAGGGAAAAAAGCAATAACCGGTCCTCCCCCTGAAACGACACTCTTCTACCGGACCAGGTGTGGTTCTGGACCACACACATCTTTTATCTGTCTGGTATGTGTAGTATGCAGCAGACCAGACTTTTAAGTACACATGTGGTGTCGTATTCTCATTCATTTCATACCGCGCGCTCTACTGCAGCTCCGCGAGATATCAAAACACACGCCCGGCCGATGGAGAGTCTGTGGCGCGAGCTGAGCGATGCTGGGTGTGATCCAGCAGCACGCGGTCCCCTTTTAGGTGTCCGGTTATAAATTCAGCTGCTGGTGATGGAATTCAGCATTCGTTTTTTATTAGACTCTAGTAATAATGATAAAGCAACTTTTAATACACGTTTCTGTCTCTGATAGGTGTGTTATCATTTGTATTGTATCAATTATTACTGATGTATTTGGCTCTTTTTACCTGTAAATCACGACAATACAAGGTGGAATCTTACAAGAATAAGGGGCTGACAATACTAAAACAACAATTTTAGAGTTAGAATAATCCCCCCCAAAAAAATGTGGGAACCTCAGACAAGCTGGGACATATTGTACAATATGTACAATATTGTAAAATATGGCACAATTCGCATTTATGGATCAATTAATCTCACAATTACCCATCGAAATAGGCTATGATAGACAACATTGTCAAAAAAGATTTCAGTATTTGTAAGGTTCACACTAGCACTATAGCTTTGTTTCCCTATTGCGTTTCCCTATGAGTACTATTGTGTTTACAAATGATGTTTAAAATAATCACTGGGTCTCTACTGAAATGTTAGTTTTACTATTTAGTACAGAGTTATAGACTCTTTGTTGTCACATTTACAGACATAAATAGCCAATGAGAGATTCTTTTATCAACATAAATTCATTCACGAACGTTATAGTTTTATGACTACCACACATACAATGAAACCACTTTATAGAAAGTGATGAAATACCAGATTAAATCCACAAAGTTCAACAAGGTCACCGTATCAGACACATCGGAAGCCAGACAGCAACTGTTATCCTGTCATTACAGTGCATGATGAACACTAATAAGGTAAACAACAGCGAAATCAGCAACAACAACAAAAGTGACAACAAAATAAAAGCACGTTTCATCATGCTCCTGACACTTTCTGCCCTAATCCCAAACTCGGCACACACAAACTGTTCTCCATGCACGGCGCAACGTGCACGGCTCGACATGCACAGCCCCCATAGCAACAGCGCCAAGTAGCGAATAGAAAGCTCAAATACTGTCTCTAGGACCCGGGTTAAAGCGCTGCAGGAAGCACCGGGAACGCGTCACGACTTGAGTGGCTGTTGCTGAGTAGTTCAGCATACTTTCTCTACACACCCCTCCCTCTCCACTCCCGCCGTCTGTTTATTTAGTCGGTCCCGTCGTCTGTGTTGTATTCATTATTAAAAAAAACACTGTTTACAACCGCCGGATCGAGTTAGCCTCTTTTTATGTTTAGTCTGAGGACGGCGGTCCCTGTTTTCTAATTGATTGTCGTTTCAATTGACACCCTTTATAATAAAATGAGAAAAAAAACCTAAAACAAAGATGCCGTGAGTTACTGATGAGATCTATTATTGATCCTCTATTATATTATTTTATTATGACACTGAGCTGACAGATTGTAAACAAGCGCTCCTACTGATTACCGGTCATGTGGATCAGCTTTTAGAGGAGATTTAGGTTTTACTGAACGTTGAATTTATATATGAATATGTTGCTGTGGTGTTTCTGTGATGTTTACTTGCTGTATCTTGATCTCACTAAATATATTTTGTTCTGCCTTGTCAATATAATTATTTTTTAATTCATATGTTTTAGCAGACCTACACAATACAGCATATATTTGTAAAAACGTAAGTCCAGTTATGTCCAAATTACTTTTACACAGTGTAAAGTATGATATCCAAATGTATCGATTATAAACACAAAACAAGCTAAACAAACAGAAATTTGCATTGACTAAATAACTATAAAAAATGTTTTTTAAATGTAAACAGAGACATTTTTTTCCCTGCTCTTTGTCATGCTGCCACATTGATTTAGAAGAAAGGCTGGTGTCTGAAATATAAGCAACAATCAATGAAGAAGAAGAAGAAGAAGAAGACAGAGGGTGGTTGTTGTTTGGAGTTTTTAACACATTTTGGCTATTGTTTTCCTTAGTTTTATAGACAGAAAGAGTCTGGGGAATTTCCAGCCACCACACTCTCTTCTCTCTGTCCTGTGCCCTTGGTCAAGGCTCCACACCCAGTTCCCCCTCAC